GCTCCTGGCGGGGGTCTCGCCGCGCGCTGCCCCGGGGCAGGAAGGGGCCCCTGCTCGGAGCCGGCTGGACTGGGGGTGCCTCCTCGGCAGGCCTGGGCCTGGGGGTTTGGGAGCGGCCGTTCCAGCAGCAGGACTGGTGCCCGCGGCCCTCTGCCATCCCGGGCTAGGGCCAGGGCGGCCGTGGTGCCTGGGGCTGCGCCGGGCGACTGTCGCTCTGCTCGGAGCTCGGACGCGGGGGTTTGTCCGGGCTGCTTCGCACAGGCCTGATCCTGCCTCGGGCAGGGGTTGTGCTGCACGTGGCCCCGCAGCTCTGGGACGCCACGGTGGCCCTGGTCATGCCCCTGCCCTGCACTCGCATGCGGGCAGCAGGTGAGCGTGCCCTGAGCTGGGGGGGCTCTGGGGCACCTGCCGGTGCCTCCTGCTGGCTGCCCCCCCTTCCCCTCAGTGGGTCCCGCATGGGCACGGCAGGGCCTGGCCTGGGCTGCAGCTGCAGGGCCTGAGATGCAGGGGCTGGACACAAAGGCAGGGCCAGCGCAGGGGGCTGCGGGCACTGGCCATGGGTGCCTCGCTGGATGGCGGGCTCCGCTGTGGGGTGGCTGGGCTGGCAAGCGGCCTGACAGCTGGAGCCAAGGGGCCTGCTCCATGGGGCGGGCAGAAAGGCGCTTCGCCTTGCTCTGCAGGGAGCAGCTACCAGGGCAAGAGGGACCAGGCTCCCTGCGGCCCTTCTGGCCCCGCCAGGGCCCGCGTTGCCGTGCCCGGGTCCCGTGTGCGTGGGCTGTCCCATGGACGGTGCGTGCGTGCTGGTCCCCACGCTGCCCCTCGCAGGCTGTGGGCCAGGCCTCAGCGGTCTGTTGCACACGTGGTGCCTGGTTCCGTGGCACAGGCCTGGGGCAGGGACGGAGATGGGTTTGGGCTTCCCTGCTGTCCGGCAGCCCCAGCCACACCGCTGGCCACCCCCGTGCCAGACACCTGGGTCCCATGCAACGTGGTTCTGGCTCCATCCCCGCTACATTCACGCAGGGCTTGAGAAACTGGCTTGGCCCCTCTCCCCCACCCCTGAAGGGGCACCGGGACAGATGCTCCCCTTGTCCCCGGGTGGGAGTGGGCGGACACCCCAACCTGTGTGGCCCACGGCAAAGCCGGTAGCTGCTAGGGCTTGGGCAGGGGAGGGCACACGCAGCACCAAGACGGGGAGATGCTCAGGTCCAGCTTCCCAGGACTGCGCTGCCTCAGTTTCCCCACAACCTCCTTCCCTCCAGGCGGGGTGCAGACAAGCCCACCTGGGCAGGCATCGTGCTGGGAAGCTCATGAGAGCCACTGGTCAACATGTGACTGGCAGGGATGTGCTGAGGGGCGTTGGCATGGCAGGGGCTGGTGAAAGGCCCCGGTGTGTCACGGATTCGGCTCCGGTTCCACCTCCACCTCCCTGCATGGTGGGGCTGTGCCTCTACCCTGGGCACCCATATGCCAACCTAAAGAAGTCACAGTCCCTTACAGGTGGGGAGGTGGAGCTGGCATCTAACCTCCCCCAGGGCAGAGCTACGTCCCCTGCGCAGATGGGAGCCCTGAGCCAGTGGAGCTGGAGCCCAGGCAGGCGCGAGTCTACGGCTTTGCAGCCCCGGGCCTGGCTCCAGAAGGCCTGGTGCCTTCAGGAGGTTCTGGGGCAGCCTGGGCACACCGGAGCCTCCTCTAGCTGGTGCTGGGCTGTGAGCGGGGTCAACCCCTGCCTGGCTGGGCCGCTGCGGGCTCTGGTTCTGCAGGGGACGGTGCCCGAGCGTGGCCCCAGGGCGCCCGGGCTGCTCCCCTTGTGCACGGCTGAGATGCTCTGAATCAGGGCCCAGTGTGACCTCTCCTCAGGCTAGAGCCATGCGGGGTGTCACGTCCAGGGGGCTGGTGAAGATTGGGGCAGGGGCTGGGTGCCGGGGGGGAGGCAAGGCCAAGCTAGTGCAGGGGCATGAACTGACCCGTGTTTTGTCTGGCAGGATCAGCGTTGACCAGAGCTGCCCCTGCACTTGGGGCACATGCCCACCCGCCCGTGCCCGCACCTGGAAGATGACCAGGCTGCTACTGGGGGTGACGCTGGAACGCGTGTGCAAGGCTGTGCTGCTGCTGTGCTTGCTGCACTTTGCCGTCACCGGGGTGCTCTACTTCGACGTCTATGCGCGCCACCTTGACTTCTTCAGCCACTTCAATAGCCGCAACGCCTCCCACGCCCCCCACGCCGGCGCCAACGCCAGCGCTGTCCGGCCCCGCAGCACTGCTCCCAGCTGCGGCCCGCCCTCGCCCAGCCTCCGGCCGGACGCCAACCACACTGCCACCCTCCCACCCCTGCTGCCCTGCCAAGACATGCCGCCTGGCTTAGGTGAGACCCGGGGCTGGGGGGCTACCTGCTGCCGAGCCTTGTGAGAGCTTGGGGGGCATTGCCAAGCCCCTTAACAGCCCTGGAAAGAGGACGTGCACAGGCATCGGCATCTCCTGGCATCCAGGAGAGGTGGATGGGAGGGCACTGAAGGGTGCTGGGAGGCCTGGGCTCCCCGTCTGGCTCTGGGTGACTGAGCGGAGGAGGGCAGAGGTTGGTGGATTTGCCTTCCCTGCTGCCACCGAGGCCCCAGGACTGGCAGGGGGCCGGGGCAGGATCGGGCCCGCTGGCAGAGCTGTGTGCCAAGGGCTGGATCCTGCGGCTTGCCCAGGCTGGGGGCAGGGTGAATGGGGCAATCCCGGTGCAGCAGGCAGTAACGGTCTGCCCCTGCACAGTGGGGCGTCTCCTCATCGAGTTCAGCTCACCCATGAGCATGGAGCGGGTGCAGCGGGAGAACCCCGAGGTGCGGGCAGGCGGGCGGTACGTGCCCCCCGACTGCCAGCCTCGCCAGAGGGTGGCCGTGCTGGTCCCCTTCCGGCACCGCGAGCACCACCTCAAGTACTGGCTGCACTACCTGCACCCCATCCTGCGCCGCCAGAAGGTCGCCTACGGCATCTACGTCATCAACCAGGTGTGCGCTGCCCGCCGGGCGGGCCAGGGGGCTATGCTGGGGGTGGGGGTCTGGCTCCTGGTGCTCCCCTGCCAGGCTGGAAGCTGAGCCCAGGCAGGAGCTGGTTCTGGACCAGGGGAGCTGAAGCCACCGAGGCCCATCAGGGGCCAGCCCATGGCCCTACAGGGAGCGTGGGGCTCTTGGCGTGGCTGTCTGCATGGCCTGGTGCTGCATGGAGACCCCTGGGAGGATCCCCAGGGGGGTCATTCCCCTGTCGCCCCTTCCAGATCCCTGCTGGGGTCAGGCCCTATCTCTGCCACTGACCTTGAGCATGGCCCTGGGCATGTCACCTGAGCTCCCCACCCAGGGGAGGGGGCATCTGCCTGTGTCCTTGCCTGGGCAGGGAGGGGTGGGAGCTGAGCTGAGCTGGTCGGGTGGGTGCAGCGGAGGCGGGGGGGCTCTGTGCTGGCCCCCCAGCCACGCAGCCCTGTCCCCACAGTACGGTGAGGACACGTTCAACCGGGCCAAGCTGCTGAACGCCGGGTTCCTGGAGGCGCTGCGGGACGACCCCGAGTACGACTGCTTCATCTTCAGCGACGTGGACCTGGTGCCCATGGACGACCGCAACCTGTACCGCTGCTACGAGCAGCCCCGGCACTTCGCCATTGCCATGGACAAGTTTGGCTTCCGGTGAGCGCCAGGGTCCTGCCACGGCCCCAGGCCCCCATCCCCTCCCTGCTGCAGGCTCCAGCCTCTCTGCACAGCCCTGGGCTGCATGGGCAGGAGCGGTGCCAGCAGATGGAGGCAGCGACTCTTCCCCTCTATTCGGCACTGGGGAGGCCACATCTAGAGTCCTGTGTCCAGTTGTGGGCCCCCCACTACAGAAAGGATGTGGACACGCTGGAGAGAGTCCAGTGGAGGGCAAGGAAGATGGTTGTGGGGCTGAGGGACAGAACTGGTGAGGAGAGGGCGAGGGAACTGGGGTGATTGAGTCTGGAGAAGAGAAGACCGAGGGGGATTGAATAGCAGCCTTCACCTCCCTGCAGGGGGGCTGCAAAGAGAATGGAGCTGGGCTGGTTTCCGTGAGGGCAGACGACAGGACAAGGAGCAGCGGGCTCAGGCTGCAGCAAGGGAAGTTGAGGCTGGATTTTAGAAAAATCTTTCTCATGAGGAGGGTAGTAAAACACTGGAATAGGCTATCTAGAGAGGTGGAGGAGTCTCCGTCCTTGGAGGTGTTTAAGACCGGGGTAGACAAAGCCCTGGCTGGGATGAAGTAGTTGGGGCTGGTCCTGCTCGCAGCAGGGGGGTGGACTAGATGCGACTCCTGAGGTCCCTTCCAGCCCCCATTTCCTGTGAGTCTCTGTGGGGCTCTGGGAGGGGTGCAGGTGCCCCTGGACTGGCTGGGGGTGCTGCTGCCCCAGGCAAGGTGCAGAGGCCACCCACCTGAGCCATGCCCCCCCGCCCGCAGGCTGCCCTACGCCGGCTACTTCGGGGGTGTCTCCGGCCTCAGCAAGTCCCAGTTCCTGAAGATCAACGGCTTCCCCAACGAGTACTGGGGCTGGGGCGGTGAAGACGACGACATCTTCAACCGGTGAGATGGCCCCGGCTGGCCCCCGCCCCCCCACCTGCTCCCAGCTCCTTCCCCCAGGGTGGGGTGGTGGGGAGCTGCTGCGTGCAGAGCCAGGGGGCCCCATGGGCTGCTGGGCTCAGGCCTCGGCATCCTGCACACACGTGTCATATGGCCCCAGTGGGGCTGAGCCTGGGGCAGGGACAGGGACTTGCGGTGGTGGGGCTGGTCCCAGTGCCCCCGAGCTGCTGCTTCTCCCCCAGGATCTCGCTAAATGGCATGAAAGTGTCGCGGCCTGACGTGCGCATCGGGCGCTACCGCATGATCAAGCATGAGCGCGACCGGCACAACGAGCCCAACCCCCAGAGGTGAGACCCTCTCCCTCCGGCCTGGCTTTGTCACTGCCCGGAGCCACCCCCAGCTCTGCTGCTCTGCCCTGGCCAGGCCCTGGGACACGGGACCCGACGCGCTGACTCCTGGGTCCCCCGACCTGCTCCCCCAACTGGCTCGGGGCTCCCGGTGCTGGCCTGTCCCTGGGGGAAGGGCGCAGACGCCCGGCCCAGGCCCCTCATGCCCCTGACGTGGCATCGTGCCCACGCCCGTGCCTGGCAGGTTCACCAAGATCCAGAACACGAAGCTGACGATGCGCCGGGACGGCATCAGCTCGCTGCAGTACCGGCTGGTGGAGGTGTCGCGCCACCCGCTCTACACCAACGTCACGGTGGACATTGGCAAGCCGCCCCCGCGCCCGGCCCGCGGATAGCGCCGCTGGAGCCCGGGCACCGCACCCGTGCCTGGCCCTGCCCTGCCCCACTCTCGGGGCGCTCGGACACTGCAGGGCCTGGCCCCAGCCGAGGGCACGCACAGACCCGGGCCCTGCCCCTGCCGGCAGCTCCATCATCTCGTTGGCAGGGCCCGTGGGCGACTTGGCAGCACGGTGCCTGCCCTGCCTGCCTGCCCGCCCATGCCCCTGGCAGTGGACCCAGATCCGGTGGCTCTGCTCCATCCCTGCAGGTGCTGGGGCCATGGAAAGCTGCGGCCTGCCTGCCCCCATCCAGCCAGGCCAGGACGCCCTGCTCACTGCCTCCGCACGACGCGCCCGGATGCCCTGGCCCCCTCCTGCCGTCTTCCTCTGCTTCGGTGCCCGGTGCTCGGAGCTGGGCCTGGCCAGGCCTCCCATGCCCCCTAGCCTGGGCTGCGCCTCAGGTGAGTGACCGCCTGCTCTGTGCCTCAGTTTCCCCATGCAGGGGCGGTGCCCCAGGGCTGGGCACAGCCTCCCTGGGCACCCGGAGCTATCAGAGGGCTGCTCTGAGCCCCTCAGCCCCTCTCCCACCTGGCTTGGGGGCTAGCCCCCCCATCCTGCCTGCCCTGTGGTGCCGGCACAACGCAGCCGGGGCTTGGGCCCTGCCCTGGTCGCTGGGTGAGGCAGGGACCAGCCCGCGCCCGGCTGGGCAGGCCCCACGTTCGCCTGCACCCACATTCCAGGCCCGCCCGGGGCACGGACCGGGGGGCACTAGGCACTTTACCACCAGCTCCACTGCCCGGGGCCGGGGGCGCCTCCACGTGCCAGGGGCTGGACGCGCTCAGCCCGGCCGTGCCCCCCGGCGGTCTCCATCCGACCAGTTACATGCACGGGGCAGAACCGGGACGGGCCCCGGGGACGAGGCCGGGATGCAGCAGGTGCCTGGGGGGCCCAGCTGCCATGCCCCGCGGGCCCTGGGGGGGTGCGTGGCCGCGCAGGGCGGCTGCCTGCGGGGCCGTGCCCGGGCGACTTTTGTACCTGTGAATGTCTGATCCTTTTGGAGCCTGCGTCGCCGCCGCCTTCGGACTTTTGTATTTAATAAAGTTTCCAATGTTCGGCCGCGGCTCCCAGGCCTATGCATGGGGTGGGGGCACGGGGGCAGAGGAGCCCCAGGGCCCTGCAGATCCTGGGCCGCCGTTGGGGCAGAGGGCACCCTGCTCCTGGGGGTGCGAGGCAGGAGAGGTGGCAGCTGGCCTGGCCCAAGCACCGGGGCTGGGCTGGGGACACCCCCGAGGAGGAGGAGGGCAGCAGCCGGGGGGCCCGGGGGGCACTGGCGCCAGGTGCCTCCTGCCCACGGCCAGCAGCTGCTTGAGGGCAAGTGCATGGCGCAGGCGTGCGGAGAGCGGGGGGGGCGGGGCAGCGGCGCCCTCAGGGGAGTCCTGTGGGCCCCGGCGGTACCCCGCCAAGTCCTAGCCCGTGTGGAGCGCGGGGGCAGATGAGGAGCCCGGCGCGGACACGCACGTTGGAGCGGCCCCCCCCAAAATGGCGGCAAAACTGGGGCTCCCAGCGTGTGGCCGCTTTGCCCGCGCGCTGGGG